TTTTTTTTTTTTTTTTTTTTTTGAGGGGGGATTCTTAATTCTGATCTAACATGTAAAGCTACACAGTGCTGTGTGGTTTTTTCAAAAGAAATTTACTAGTCTTACATTTAAACTTTAGATACGCCATCGGAGGACACGATGGTTCTAATCATCTTAATACGGCTGAGTGCTTTGATCCTTCCACTAACATGTGGCATAATGTGGCTTCAATGGAAAGTCGTCGGCGAGGCATTGCTGTTGGGACTTTAATCGGAGCTATTTATGCCGTTGGTGGGTTGGACGACAGTGCTTGCTTCCAGGTTGGGTTGTTGCTCTTTTTGTTGAGTGCTCAATGTGGTTTTGCACGCCTCACTTTCTTTTACTCTTACTTCTTTCCTGTCTCCCAAAGAAAAAACTTTTTACAGACTGTTGAAAGGTACGATATTGAAGCAGATAAATGGTCATCTGTAGCTTCAATGAATGTACAAAGAGGGGGTGTTGGCGTTGCAGCCTTAGGCCGTTACTTGTACGCGGTTGGTGGCAATGATGGCACATCTTCGCTAGATTCTTGTGAACGTTATGATCCTGTCCTTAACAAATGGATTTTAGTGGCGAGCATGCAGCATCGCAGGTAATAGCTTTTCAGATGCCTTTGATTATTTTAAGCATAATCAGTTTCTTTTATTGCACTATTTTTACTAATATAATTTCATTTTATATTCCTATTTCATTCAGCGTATGTCAGTTTAGGGCTGGTGCTGGAGTTACTGTTTTGGGCGGATGCTTGTATGCGATAGGAGGTTTTGATGATAATGCTCCACTGCCTTCATGCGAGCGGTATGATCCTTCAACCGATAAGTGGGAGCTTCTGTCCCAAATGTCTTGTCCTCGAGGTTGGGATATAGTGGAATTATTCTTTTTTAGTATATGATAGGGTGAATGGTTCTTTAACATTAATCATTACCTCAGGTGGAGTTGGAGTTGCGGCAATGGGTGGAAGGATATATGCTGTTGGTGGTCATGACGGGGTAAGGTACCTGAATTCTGTCGAAGCTTATGACCCACTCTCAAACCAATGGTCACCGGTCGCCACTATCAGTACTTGCCGGTAAGTATTTCAAAAGAGGTATTTTTTTG